ATCAAGATAACTGGACATAGCTATATTTCTTAGCTCGTCCTCGCTGGTTGATACATAAACATCTTGATTAAATGGTTACAATCATGAGTTTCTTTTTGGCCGCATGATTTCCTATTTCATTCTTTTAAAGTTTTAAACTTAATGTGGTTGAGTTATGCATTACCTTTTGTTTTCAGTTAATGTATAATCTATTCTCCCGTCTTGTTCAGGAATTGAGAACTCCAGCTCAAGATGCTACAGAAGCTGAATTGTTTTCTTGCCCAATTTGTTATGAACCACTTATGAGAAAAGGTCCTCCAGGTTTTAACTTGTAAGTTCAGATAGAAAATGCATAATAACATTGCTTCTATATGTGGCCTAGTTGTTGTTTGACTTTGGATTTAAAACTTGCAGACCTGCAATCTACCGATCGGGCTTCAAATGCAGAAAGTGTAACAAGTCATATTCGAGCAAAAATATCTACCTTGATCTCACTATTACTTCTGGAACAAAAGAATACAGTGAATCTAAACCAGCTCGGACTGAGCTATTCAGGTATCTTATCAAGTTTCTTGTTATTGCTTGATTAAATCATTTCCAGTTCTAGTACTGATTGTTACTCTGGTTTTTTGGGGGTTTGAAACTATTTGCCTAAAGATGTTGACTGTACTTTGAAGTCGTTAAGGTTTCATCCCTCCTTCTTGCATTTTCCTGTTCTTTTGGACACGACACAAGATATGCAAAAGTTTTTGTGTTTGAACTGTAGCTTATTTCTTTTACAAAGTTAGCTATCCAAGGCATGGACCTTAGACATTTACATTTAGTAGCTTGGAGTCAAAATCCTGCCATATTTAAACTAATTACAGAAGTGAAAAACAAAACATTGATGTCCAATTAACTGCATGGATGGGGGTGTGAGTATTTATCAGTGGTATCTATTAGGCACCTGTGCTTCCTATTTTAGCAAGTTTAAATGGTTTCAAAAGCTTCTTATCTAGTATTGAGACGTGTGTCCAACCCATTTGGCATGTGCGTGTTGACGAAAATGAAGAGGTCCACGAAACATAGTAGTATGCTGCATAAGATTTAGCCCTCCACCTCATGCACTTAAGTAAATCCCACAAAAATCTAAAAGTTGCATCAAGGAGATAATTTTTCTTTTTCGAAATTCTTCTCCTCTCATTATTTCTACTTACACTGGAAGTGCTACGTAATAACAAATAAGAGACTGCGGAATCAGTTTTGACAAAGTTACAAAGTTACAGGAATCAGCTTTTGACAAACTTGCAGATATTCAACTGTCCTCTCATCCTTAGCCTTTATTCTTGGCTTATTAGTATAAAAAATTACTAATTTTGAAACCTATAAACTATGCCTCAATCCTAAACTAGTTGCAGTTGGCTGTATGAATCTTCTAAATCTATTTCGCTTTATTTAAGCTCATTTCGTTCTTATACTAAATCTCTTTTAGCGCAATTTAGGAGGTTCTCTAAAATCTGAGGTTCTCTATCTTTTAATAGGACAAACCTTGGACTTACAAGTGTTACACCAACTAAGCCTTAATTCCAACAAAACTAGTATCACCATTGCTTCAATTATATCTTTTCTTAGCTAAGTCTGCAATGATTTCGAGAGACTTTGTCTTATGGTACAATTTTCCTTTGTTAGACTTTTGTCTACCTCGTCTCTTTTTCAATCGCCATATTGTTGCCTGTAGACAGGTGGATTTGGAGGTCTATATAGGTCTTGACCAAACGATTTAAGGCGACTTCTCTTAATTTATCCTGTGTGCTATGCCACCTTTTGTCGGATGTGAGCATTTCAAAGCTTGTCCAATCTTGTATAACCACATAGCCATTTTTACTTCCTCATTTCGGCCACAATTATCTTGTGGATATGTTAGGCCGTAGAGGACCAACATTCATTCCCATATAATATTGTCACTCTATGGAACTTGATTTTCACTTTGTACGTTATCTTCCTATCATATAACTTCCATAGTATTCCTCCATATCACCCATCCTATTTCAATTTTATGTGTTACATATTCATCTATCAAGCTAACCTTTTGGATGATGGAGATGATATACCGAATTGTCTGTGCTTAGGGCTATAGTTCAGTCTAATCTCTCTTCACAGTTTCCTTCTAAGGGGGTTAAATTTGCAGTATGTATGTATGTGTGTGTATATTTATATCTTAATGCCCTTAATTTCTAGAGTCTTTACCACAGGTCCACCTTTTGGCTTATTACTTCACTAGTTTCATCAATTAACATAATATAATATGCAAATAGTGTGCATCATAAATTAGTATGCACCTAAAAACGTCCTCATTCCACTGCTACAGTTTTTGTGTTGAGATCATAGCCTTTTGATACCCCCAGAACTTGCTACTTTCTTAACGCAACTTATCATTTCCTTCCAGTTCTGCATCAGTTTCTAAGCCCTATGCTCTCTACTTTAATTGGTTGTTCGCAAATGCTATTTAGTTTGTGGCAAGCAATTTGTTAATGAGAGACCGGAGGTATGGAGGCAGGCCCTGGAGTCCAAAGGTTTCAAGTTGAGTAGGACTAAGACGGAATGCCTGGAGTGTGAGTTCAGCGGCGTGATGGGGAAGTGGACGTGGAAGTGAGGCTTGACTCACAAGTCATCCCCAAGAGAGAGTTTCAAGTACTTAGGGTCAATTATACAGGGAGATGGGGAGATCGACGAAGATGTCACACACCGTATTGGGGTGGGGTGGATGAAATGGAGGTTAGCGTCTAGAGTCCTGTGTGACAAGAATGTGCCAACGAAACTTAAAGGTAAGTTCTATAGAGCGGTGGTTAGACTGGCCATGTTGTATGGGGCTGAGTGTTGCTAGTCAAGAATGCACATATCCAAAAGATGAAAGTAGCCGAAATGAGAATGTTGAGGTGGATGTGCGGGCACACGAGGATGGATAAGATTAGGAATGAAGATATTGGGGAGAGGGTGGGCGTTGCTCCCATGAACTACAAGATGCGGGAAGCATGAATTAAATGGTTCGGGCACATAAGGAGGAGAAGCCCAGATGCTCCGGTTAGGAGGTTTGAGCGGTTGGATTTGGGAGGTACGAGAAGAGGTCGAGGGCGGCCTAAGAAGTATTGGGGCGAGGTAATCAGGCAGGACATGGTGCGGCTTCAGATCTCCGAGGATATGACTCTTGATAGGAATGTCTGGAGGTCGAGCATTAGGGTTGTAGGTTAGGGGGTAGTCGAGGGTTTTCGCTCGTTGTACCGGTTAGTCGGATAGAGTTTTGTCTAGGACTGCTAGCGATTTTTGTTGTGTGCACACTATTTCTCTCGTTTTGTATAGTATGGGGTTATTTGTTGTCTCTTTCGATGCTGATTATTATTTTTCTGGTTTCTTTTGTTGTTACGGATTTATTCTTTTGTTCTTTTCTGATATTATTGTCTCATCTGTTGAGCCGAGGGTCTTCCGGAAACAGCCACTCTACCCTCTCCAGACCCCACTAATGGGATTGTACTGGGTTGTTGTTGTTGTTGTATTTGTTATCGGCCCCTTACCTCCTATGTCTTTCTCTGGGTTAATAGCCTTTTATCTTTTCATTCTCTTTTCTATTTGTTTTTTTGTTAAGTTAGGCTTTTCTTCTCTATTACTGGAGTGCCTTACTGGTCTGGAGTGTTGAAAATATTTACCTTAATTTAGCTTTTACCCCATTGTTCTATTACAACTGTCAGATCCCGAGTACTGCAGTTAAATATGTATATTTATGAATGATTTATTTAGTTTGGTATACCTCTTTATTCGTGCTTTTAGTTTGTGACCTTTATCTCTTTTGTTAGATTAATTTTTTCTTCTTTATTCATGTAAGTGGCTCTACATATGAATTTCTTTTTAGATTTTTTTTAGATGTTCATTTCTAATTACTGGTGCTCTTATCTTTCCCAGGAGTCCAGTTGTTTCATTCTTGTATGAGAGAGGCTGGCGTCAAAACTTTAACCTTAGTGGTTTTCCTGGTCCTGATGAAGAGGTAAAACTTTTTTGATTGCTCAGATTAGATGTATCTAAGTAGCGTTATGGTTGGTTGACTAAATGTTAATCTAGAAATAACCACATATATCACCTTCCTACATGTAAGAAATGTTGTCGTTTATCCATTAACTTTTCCATTGACGGAGTTTTTGGCCAAAATTATCCCTTATCTTTGAGGATAGATTTAACTGTCCTCCAAATATAACACTGAACACCATTTGTCCTTTAAGTTTGCAAAAAAATGAGCATTTTTAGTCCGAGTAACAAAAACACCGATATCTGTTAGAAAACTAACAGAGATGTAACACCCAACTGCACTTGAAACTTTTTAAAAAATACCGACCTCTCTTAACACCCCAAATCAGTCCATTACCTACTTTTCTATCGGAGAAAACTTTTACTCCCACCGGATTCAAACTGCCAAGATAGGTAGGTGGTGAACTAGTGTGTCACTGTGGCTGATTTAAGCTCGAAAAGTTATCGATAGCTGAGGCGGTGTTTTGTTGGTTGTGTGTACAATATGCAAGCAGCAACAACAACAACAAAGCAGTATATTTTCACACGTGGGGTCTGGGAAGGGTGATGTGTACGCAGACCTTATCCCTACCTTGTGCAGGTAGAGAAGCTGTTTCCAAGAGACCCTCGACTCGAGCACGTAGTCATAGCAACACGTAAAATTGAAATATAAGAATAGTAAAGTCATTAAAAAAAATGAAGCAATAATGAGATAGTAACTAACCAAGCTGAAGCATCACCAGATAATACTAGAAATCCAAGAAGAGGCCAAAACCGGAGTAATACTACATCTACCGGAATGGAAGGAAAGTACGCTCAACTACTACCAACTTTCTACCCTAATCCTCGATTTCTACATCCTCCTATCAAGGGTATGTCCTTGGTCAGCTGAACATGCGCCATGTCCTGCCTAATCACCTCTTCCCGATTCTTCTTTGGCCTTCCTCTACCTCATCTCAAGCCCACGATGCTCAACCTCTCACTCCTTCTCACCGCGGCATCTCCTCGTCACATGACCGAACCATATCAACCTCATTTCCCGCATCTTCTTCTCCACGGGGGCTGCCCTCACATTGTTTCGAATAACTTCATTCCTAACCTTATCTCTCCTAGTATGCCCACACATCCATTTCAGCATCCTCATCTCCACTATTCTCAACTTCTGGATATGAGAGTTCTTGACTAGCCAACATTTCGTCCCATACAACGTAGTCGGTTTAACCACCACTCTGTAGAACTTACCTTTAAGTCTTGGTGGCACTTTCTTATCACATAAGACATCGGAAGCAAGCTTCCATTTCATCCTCCCTGCCCCAATACGTTGTGTGACATCCTCGTCGATCTCCCCGTTACTCTGAATTACTGACCTTATATACTTGAAACTTTCCCTCTTAGGGATGACACATGTATCAAGCCTCACTTGCACTCTATCTTCCTACGAAAACTTGTGATCAATTATCAACTAAATCAAGCAAATTCTAATTTATCGAGTCAAGAACAAGTTCAAAGTGATATTTGCTTAATTAATTCTACTAACTCGAGCTGCGATTAAAAAAAGAACTAATTAACTAGCGCACTTAACACGAAGGGTTGAATTCAATGAGAAATAATATTCCAGGGTCAAGGTTATGTAACAATCCTGTTGAATTCTTCAATCAACTCGACTTATTAATTTATCTGGATTGTTAACCTGCAAGACAATAATACTCGTAGAAATTTGACAACTTCTACTCGCCTATTCATTTTATTCTAAACCCTATATTTCTATGAGATTAGAGATAAAAAGAACGCATTAATAATTTTTGGCACAATTGGCTAAGCACGACAAATAGGTATATTTCTATCTGTATTCGCAAATCAATTCCCCAATGATTAGGTTCAAGACCGCGCTCTATTCAATCCTATTGCAGTCAAGAATTACCTTTTTCAAGTTAACTCAAGATTCATATTTAGTATTTCATTGTTAAGCTAGGCAGTAAAATAATTAGGCTCAGGATATGAATAAACAATCCAATATGATAAATTAACTCGTCAAATCAATATTCGAATATCAACATTCATGTAAAACCATAA